CAATACTCGCAAAGATGTTACCTGCGAATGCGTTATGATCACAATAAAGATATTTAAAACAAAAACAATATTGAGAGACATACACAAAACAAACCACCGCAGAAGGCGCACCAATGGCCCTGAGGATGCTGTCAGATTGTTGACCACGTACACCACAGCTATTTTGTACGTGTGAAACACAACCTTCTTGTCCCTGATCAGAGGCCCACAGAGCAAGAGAGCAACCACCAATGGGAAAAGTTCAAGAAAGGCCAAGTTGCGCACACCACCTACCCCCGAAGTACGCGCCAAAGTCAGCGTTCCCCGAAGCATCATAGTTACATAGTTACATAGCTGAAAAGAGACTTGCGTACATCAAGTTCAGCCTTCCTCACATTTGTTTTTTGCTGTTGATCCAATTCAACTGCATCCATATACAACTCCAGGTCATCCGCTGATGTTGCAGGCTCCCGAAACACAGTGCCATTATATTCCTTCAGGAATGCATCCCAAACTGCCAAATCAGCCATCATGGCTAAGGTCACCCATACAAAATAATGCGGCAAACGCACCACTGTCGTAGCCTGCGCCAGCCCTCTGCTGAAAACTCTCCCGTGGGGATCACCCACCAGGCAAGCAAAGTTGAGCTTGCCCAGCAAGGATTGCAACACCCGAAGTGTGACCTTCTTGGCCACCCGCACTTCCTCCACCATCGCTCGAAGTCTCTCATGCTTGTCCCTCGGTAACCGACATTCGCCCCTCGCCGAGTCGATTTTCAGCCCCAAGAAGCAAATACAGTCAGTGAGGCCCTCAGTCTTATTCGCCACCGAAGGGACCCCAAATAACCTGGCCACCCACTGAATGGTATGCAACAGATGCAGACAGAACGAGAAGTTCCCAGGGCCCATGCACAGAAAGTCGTCCAAGTAGTGGACCACCGCACACCTCCCCGCTCCCTGCCGCACCACCCACTCCAAGAAAGTGCTAAATTTCTCGAAGTAGAACTAGAACACCCCATTGGGAGACATAAGTCCATGAAGTACTTCCCATCGAAACTGCAACCCAGCAAGTGATGACAATCTGGATGAACCGGCAGCAGTCAGAACGCCGTTTCCACATCCATCCTAGCCATAAGAGCGTGCCGCCTGGCACTCCTAACCAACTCGACCACTTGCTCAAATGATGCATAGAAGACCGAGCACAGCTCCCTATCTATGTCGCCATTAAACGATGACCCACGCTGGTAAGACAGGTGGTGGATCATACGGTACTTTCCTGATTCCTTCTTGGGTACAATGCCTAGCAGGGAGATTCGCAACCTGTCCAGTGGTAGGTCCTGAAATGGACCTGCCATCTTACCCAACTGCACCTCCTTCATTAACTTGTCTCGTACCACCCCAGGGAATTCCAAAGCCGGCTTCAGATTACGCAATCGGCCACAACCTTCCCGATCCCGGAAAGGGATAAAAAATCCCATGTAAGGAACCTGACCTCAGCAACGCTGCATCCCTTTTGTTACAGTAACAGTTTAGCCATGGTAACATCTCTTCTAGCCTCACTGGCATGGCTCCCAGCGGCTTTTCCCCCAGGACACTAGCGAGAATGCAAAATGCCCTCAGCCACGAAACGAAAGCCTTACGGTACCACTTCTTCTTCTCCTCCTCCTCCTCTTTTTTGGCTTCCTTCTTGTCATTGTTCTTGACGTCAATGTATTCCTCTAAAGGAAGGAGCGAGAATATCTCCACAAACTCACCCTTCCACAGCTTTTCTTTAACCCCTTCCTGTTTGAGATACCCTCCCAATGGCCCCGCTAAGGACGCTGCATCCGTGCCCCCTGATTCATGCACCTGCACAGAACCTATGCCCCCCCCCCGGGAGCACCCTCTGAGGTCCAGATGGCCCCCCCAGAGTCACTTCCACTACAAGAATCCTAGTAACATTAAGTCATTAAGTGGGCATCTGCGGTGTATCAGAATCGCAACACCATTTCTTTTATTGAGGGCTCTTGATTCATAAGTGGTGTTAATAGTGTGGTCCCGAAGCGCAAATTTTGCAGATGCTGGTAAGTGCCAACCTGTATCCCTATATCGGGATTTGATCTTTTGAGTTCCCTGAACATGAGGCGTCGCTTTTTAGGGGCGTTTAGACCCTTAAGATTTAGAGATAGTATTTTCACAGGCATGCGTCAAGCTCGGGGGGATCGATATACTGTGGTGTTATGTTGAGCTTGTATTCTAGGCTATCGCTCTTATTTGTGTGCGCGGTTGGATGAGTCAGCGTCAGCCAGCATGGTATTGCTTGCTGAAGATGTGTGTCACTGAAGAGTTCGCACTTACCCTTTGTCGTTCCCTCTCTCCTTGTTGGTGTTCTTTTTTTCGCCAGGTAATTTCCTGACGTTCTCTCAAGATCTTTGCTTCTCTGTTATCTCTCGCTCTCCCCCGGGAGAATAAAATAGGAGGTGAAAAGAAAGAAGAACAAGACATTGTTATGTACATCCAGTGCCTGGTCTTACCTATAGCCAGGCATGTGTGTGGTGTATGTCCCTGCCCCTCTATCACTCCGAAGAGGCTCAACAGGGTCAGGGACTAGTGATGTACCGAACGGTTCGCTGGCGAACGGTTCCTGGCGAACATAGCATGTTCACGTTCACCACGGCGGGCGAACATATGCGCGGTTCGACCCGCCCCCTATTCGTCATCATTGAGTAAACTTTGACCCTGTACCTCACAGTCAGCAGACACATTCCAGCCAATTAGCAGCACAGCCTCCCTAGCAGACCCTCCCACCTACTGGACAGCATCCATTTTAGATTCATTCTCAAGCTGCATGCTTAGTAAGAGGAGGGAAAGTGTAGCTGCTGTTCATAAGATAGGGAAAAGCATAGCTAGGTTAGGGATAAGGGTATGCTTTTTTTTTTTTTTATTTTTTCTATGTAATGTAAATGCACTTAGTTGTCTGCCACTGCTGCCAGCTTCTGTGTCAGGCTCACAGTGCATACTGTGCCCATTTCCCCAGTCAGTGCCACCAATTACATCTGGTGTCACAATAGCTTGGATTTAAAAACAAAAAACTTTTTTCACTGTTATAGATTGAATAGCAGTCAGTTGTCTGCCACTGCTGCCAGCTTCTGTGTCAGGCTCACAGTGCATACTGTGCCC